GTCAGTACCACCTTCGCCATCCGGATCTCAGACCTCCAGTCCTCAGAGCAGTGAAGGGGAAGATGACAGAGACGGGGATGACGACGAAAGGTACGATGAGGAAGAGGAGGCTGAGAGGGATCGGTTAAATATTAAGTCACCCTTTCTCCTGAACCACGTTCCAAAGGGGAAGAAGAAGCTTCATGGGGAATACAAGAACTGACCCAGAGTGAGCAAAGGAAGAGTGATGATGGTGGAGGTGGAGAGAGGGAAAACGTTTGATTCCTTCTCCTGAAAATCACAATCACAGCCTCTGCCCGTAAAGAAGGGAGGAGATTAAGTGGATGGCAGTTTTGTAATTTGGAATAAAACAGCGTTGTATTGTATTACATTACTACATTTTAATCTTCAGGTCTTGTCCCTGCAAATCTAAAGATGAGAGGGTTTTTAAAGCAGCAGGACAGGAGGCATTTTAAAGATGGGTAATTTAGTTGGAGATGGTGACTCACACCTGCAATCTTAGCACTCAGAAGGCTGGGGCAGGAGGATTGCCATGATGCCAAGACCAGACTGGGTTAAAGAGTGAGACCCTACATTTAAAAAATGGTAAATGTAAGTGATGAGAAAGTTTTCAATACTTTTTTTACAAAAATCATTATCATAATCCTTTGATTAATATTTATGAAGCTTCCCTCTTTCTGAAAAGATTGGATCTGAACTGTGATTGCATGGCTCACATATTTTAGATCAGCAAGACTTTTTATTCATTTGTCATTGGAATTAAAGCCATGGATTTCCATTTTGCTCTGCAGATGACTGTCAAAATCCACAAGAAAACAAACTGCCCCAAATCCATATTCTGTCATCCAGCTGTCATCCAGCACCTCTATTGTCATAGAGAAAGTAGATGCAGGAAGGCAAGCAATGAATGCCAATGGATATTTACTACAAGATATCTGGTATCTAGAATTTGTGCCCAAATCATTGATAATAAGACGTTACTATCAATGTGTGTTACCTTATTGTAACAGTACTTTAGTTGTTTAAATGGAAATTTCAATCTTTTATAGATAATAAGTTGCCAAATTCAAATGAATAAATGTGTCACTACAGATTTTATTTTCTTTAATAACATCTTGCTTAAAATGTTTCAGACGTCAAAATAACATGTGTGAAGCACTTGTCATGAATAGTACCTAGCATATTGAAAGGAATGTATCTCTCTTTCTTTTTGAGAAAGGGCTTTCTGTGTAGTCTTGGCTGTCCTGGAACTCCCTCTGTGGACCAGGCTGGCCTCGAACTCACAGAGATCTGCTTGTCTCTGCTTCCCAAGTGCTGGTATGAAAGGTGTGTTCCACCGTCACCCAGCTGAAAGCAATCTTTTAAAAAGAATTACTGAAGTTATAGAAAAAGTAGAAATCTACTTAAATGTAGGAACAGTTTCTCTAACATATTCTTTAATCTATTTAAGAGGATAGTTGAATGATTGCAATAAGCAGGATTATGTTGCAAATGTAATGAGCTAAATTGACTAAACACTAACAACAGAACCCAGATTTACCCCTGGTTCATTTTTTCTAAGTGAGTAGCCATTCACTGTGTCCCAGCTACTGCATAGCAAGCACTTTGATTGACCTATCAGTTGGCCTTGCTCTAAAAATGCTCTGTAGAAGAGCTGGTCTTCTTAGAGCTGGGTTGTTGAGAGTAACAGTGAAAAAGACACCATCTCACATGGTTGAAGACAAGGGTAGGTTGTCATCCAGCACCTCTATCCATCTCACACGGTTGAAGACAAGGGCAGGCTGTCATCCAGCACCTCTATTGTCATAGAGAAAGTAGATGCAGGAAGGCAAGCAATGAATTAAACCAACGTAGAAGATGGTTATATATATATATATATATATATCAGAAAGTGGAACATGAATTATATAAAGCTCAATATTGCTAAAAAATATCCTCCAATATGATAACACCAGGAATGATGATGGCCTTTGTAAGGTGTCTAGGCCATGAGGGCGTAGTCTTTGGAAATGAAGTTGTGAACTTAGAAAGGAGACCCCACCCCCACCTCCACCCCCAGGTGGGGATAGTAGCTTAGATGTAGACTGCTTGTTCAGTTGCATGGTGCTCAGGGCTCAATACACAGTACCAGAATAGAAGGCAAGGAGGAAGCTACAGGAGAAGGAAGAGAGGAAGAGAGGAAGGGGGAGAGGAGGAGGAGAAAGACAGGCCCCCAGGGAATTGCTTTGTGGAGTTACAGCCACAGCAAGGAGCCACCTATGGGAAAGTGGCCTTCACCAAACAGGCATTCTGCCAACATGTTGATCTGACATTTCCAGAACTCCAAGAGGTAAATCTGTTTTTGTCAAACTGCCAGTGTTGCTTTAGCAGTCAGACCCAGCTAACTGAAACCATCACCCTCCTATGGCAAAGGCAAAGTGAGCAGAGCTGGTTTTATACAAGCAGCTGGGAACTGTAGGACTTAAAAATGCAGTGCTGATGGTTTTTCAGGTCACAGGGCAGACTCTTCTTGAGGAAATCCAAAGAGGCTTCATAGGAGGAGCTCAACTTTCTATGAAGTAGCATGGTGACATAGCTGTATCCTCACACAGTGATTTTAAAAATCAATTGAAAAGAGAGATGAACTCTTCCTAGAAGAATTAGCCACTGAAAAGACTGAGCTGAACGGAGCTGCATCACCAGCTCTACTTTTACCAGAGGCCAAGATAAAACAATGAGACTCAAGGCTGCTAATACACACCAATTTCTATGCTTTTCACCAAGTACAGAGGGGGTGTGGATCGAACACTGATCCAAACAAGGCAGAGCCCCTTTGGTCTTGTTGCTCTTCTTTCGGGGTTACAGTGGTGTTGGGGTTTGGGGAGACATCAAATACAGAAATACAAAAGGAACAACTAAGAGTCAAGACTGAGGAAGAGAGGGAGACAATGAGAGGAAGGACATCCTGCATTGTGCAGAAAGTGGCTGGAAATTCCATAGAGGAGATGGTCCAGTATATGTGCATGTGTTGATGCCAGCAATTTCCAACTTATAACATGAATCTCACAAGGAAAACAGTTTTGATCTGTGACCTTGTTCACTTCAGTTTGTACAAAGGTGGAAGTAAAGAGACTTGAGAACACACCCTGTTCTGGCTGGAAAGTAGTCTTCCCACCTGTTCCTCATGGAATTTGCTTGCTATTTTGGTAGTGTTGCAGGGTGGGCCTTTTAAGATGAGATCAAAACCCTTGGCTGTGAAGCTCAGTAATGTCACTGATCATGCACACAAGCCTGCGTCAAATTCCCACTATAAACAAAATTTTAAAAAGTGACCAGATCATTAAAAGTGATTAATGCATTTCTTTGCAGGCTTGGGAACTGGGCAGTTACACTGGAGTGTGTTATTGTGAAACTTGACTTCTCCTGTTGTACGTTTCTCTTGTGCTCTCTTACCCTCACTTTTCTTCCAGGCTGTGAACAGCACTAGGTTCTTCAAACCACCTGAGAGATGCTAGACCTCCTGGCCTTCCAAACCCTGAACAAAAATAGATTTCTTTACTAATTACCCAGTCTCAGGAAATCCGATACAGCAATGAAAACCCAACAAAGACACACCCTTTTAGGGTTGGAAAGTTTTATCAAAGTGGAGAGAGGGAGCCATGTGACTACCCAGAGCCTCTACATGAAGAGCACTTAAGGAGTGTGATGGCGGCACCCCAACAGCTGGTTATTTTTAGACAGCTTCTTAAAACACCAGCTGTGAGAAGACCCGCTCCATGAGCTAAATACTAAAAACACCCTTGGAAGAAAGAAACTATTTACATGAGCAATCCATAGCCACGTACCCATTCATTAACTCGATAAGTTGAATATGGGACTCTCTGGTAAATCAACTTTTAAGTCAAGTCATGACTAGTGACAAGTGCAACACAGTTTCTAGTTCTTGAAAATTTCTGGGGGCGGCAGACAGAAGCCAATGGTACATTAATTTCATATAGTTTTATTACTTAATTGTGAACAGAGAAGCAGACAAAACATATACACATGGTTTTAATTACTTAACACGGCTGAGTTAAAATTTCAGATTACATATATGACAGATTACAGATATTCACATAAAGATATTCTGTAGCTAGGAAGTAATAGCTGTAAGCTGGGGATGATAAGAATCAATACTTGTCACTTGGGCACTTATGGTTAACAACTCTGATTTGATTAGGTTAAAAAAAAAATACCATGGTGATCATGCTGTAATTCCTAGTAAGATATTTTCCCTGTTGTAGGGGTCTCACCCCCAAGTTCCCCCACCGTGTGTGTGTGTGTGTGTGTGTGTGTGTGTGTGTGTGCGTGCCTGCACTTGTGTTCAGACTTGGAAATGGATAAATCATGCATATGGAATACACTTGTGTCATGGGAGTACCTTAATGTAAAGTCATGGAGAAGCCTCTTTCAGCCACAGAAAACAGGCTACCTCAACAGGGTACCTTTGTGTGGCGTATGCTCTGGCAAACTCCATCACCATCGGCTTATATGCCAGTGACTTCAAGGTCCAAGTTTGTAAGTGGAATTCAGTTAGATCCCCTAGGAACACAAAGAGGCTCCCAGTCCTGGGTCTTCACAGACCTTCCAGGGGTTTCAGGATCATGCAGGGTGCCCTGTCCAAGCAGCAGTAGATAATACCTGTTTTCATGGGTGCTTTATCCCAGCATCCTCTCCCCACCTCCCTCCTTAACTGACCTCTCTAGAGGAGTTGCAAAAAGACATACTCTGCCCTATACACTGGAAGTCCTGCTGTACCTTCTCTCTTACTGGGGATGAGAAAAGGGGGACAGGGAGGATAGTGGCTGAGTGACACCCAAAAGGGTGATTGACTGCTAAACAAACTGCGAAGATCCAGACAGCACCCGACTGCAGGGAAAAGAAAGAACGTTTCTGAGTTCCCAGCTGTGGCATTCTAAAGGCCATGTAAAATCCAAGCCTACGTCAGACACAGGTGGCATGAACCCAAAGCAGGGGAAGAACTTGGTGGCACTCCAGTTAAGAATTCCATGTGTATTTTGCTTCTGGAAGACTAATCCTAGAGGGGCAGGGTCTAAGGTTACAGGTGTGGAAGGAAGGGTGCACAGGTCCTAATCGTGGGTTATGGTTTTCACATGAACAGAAGTACACTTGAATGTGCCCTGGTGCGTTTTCACCAGTTCAGCAGTCTGTCTTCGAGGAATTCACTTTGATCGAAATTCCCTCCTTCATCTGCAAGAAAGAAAGAAAGAAAGAAAGAAAAAACCATAGCAAACTCTCATATGCTTGGTTTTAGAGAGAGAAAAAGAACCTCAAGAAATATATATTTGGCTCCTAAAGTTAAGTCAATTCATGCTCAATGCTACTAACAGTTCTTTTACAAATTGGATTTTGATTTGTTTGGCTTTAGAAATCCCCCCCACACACACATTGGAACACAGCTGGTAATTCACATTTTATATCCAATATCTACGTATCTGAGGATGACCTGGAACTCCTGATCCTCTTGCCTCCACTCCCCAAGTGCTGGGATCACAGACATATACCACGATGATGCTTTATGCAGTACTGGGCATTGAACCCCAGGACCTCACTCATGCTGGGCAAGCTACATCCCAGCCTGCAATGTCCGCGTCCCTACAATCAATGGAAGTGCAATGTGTCAAGTTTGGCAGAAGTGTAGAGATCTCTACGTCTTGTTCTGATTAACATGCCTCCAGTCTAAACCCCGTCTCCAGAGCCATCCCCTGCATCAAAATGGCGTGGCCTGTGTTGCCTGGGGATACATCTCTTGCGTGGGGAAGATGACACGGGGACACACTTGAAAACATTAGGTGAATTCTTCTGGGTAAGCAATGAGACCAACGGCAAAGGCACTTGTAAGCTGGATGGGAATGGGAAAAGGTCAGGCCTAGAGTGTTTCATAAAGATTAGACAGTAGCAGGATCACGGTACCCAAAATATAGAGTAGAAGGGATGAACCCTGAAGAGGGGCAGAGAGGAGGTGCTGAGCCAGCACACATACCCTAGATTTTACTTTTCCCAAGATTGCCTTCTAGATGAAACAATACTCCCTCAGTCACAATACCATTTGAAAGATAGACAGTAAATAGCGTGCTTCTCTCCAGAGGGAAGCAAAGTGTGGACACATGGACACGCAGATACACAGATGCACACACGCCTAAGGGATGGGACAGGAAAACATCCTAGTACAAACTCCATTGGAATTTCATCTTACGATGTAAGAACTTTCCAGAACATACACAGGGACTCTGCAATAAAAATATTACAGATTAGTGACTGACAATACCATCTGGGAATCCAAAATTCCACCACTTATTTAGATTAATAAAACTTTGCTTCTTTAGTTCACTTCCAGGGACAAGCTACTCAGAACATGCTAATCCATTAGGGCTGGTGAGATGGCACTTGATGTCAAGCCTGACAACAGGTCTGGGAATCAATTGGTGGCAAGAGAGGACTGACTCCAAAGTTATCCTCTGACTTACACACACAATGTAGTATGAATCTATCTGGTACCTAAGTAAATGTGCGGGGGGGGGGGGGGCTCATTTCAGTAATTATACTTGTTTCCCCCAAACCCTTGAAATGGGGACCTAAAATGCTATCCCTTAAAATGAATGCTATCCCTTAAAATGAACTCTCCTTTCTCTGGTGTAGCCTGGTGTCTGGCTCTGTCCATCTTCCCAACACTCATGCCTACTGTCAGTCACCATCAAAGTTCTTTTCCTAAAGACCTCGGTTATTGTTTTACATCTTGAAGTTAAAATCTGTCACTTGGAAACAGCATTCTCTGTCTATTATCCAGTTTCTTCTCACTTTTCCCATGCCCAGCTGACGATGTTTACTCTCAATAATAGGATTGGGACTAGAGATATGGGCTCACTCAATAAAGCGCTCATGAGGATCTGAGTTCGGATCCTCAGCACTCGGATAGACCTGATGACACATGCCAGCAAACCCCAGTGGAGACAGGCAGAGCTCTAGAAGCCCACTGACCAGCAGGATAGTTGACTCAGCGAGTTCCAGGTTCAGTGACAGATCTGTGTTAAAGACTAAGGTGGAAAGTGATTGACGAGACATCCAGTGACAACATCTGGTCTCCACGTGAATGTCCACACACGTGCACATACTGCACACACACGCACACACTATTCACCTCATTACAGTGGGTCCCTAGAGTTGTGGGGCCACCCCTGTGCCGGGTCACAGGCTGTAAAAGTTGCTGGAACGAGGCCGCACACTCAGGGCTGTGAACTTCCAAAGACCTAGCTGACCCATTACCAAGATGCCTCAGTTCTGCTACAACTTCTACACCACATGGCCAGAATGGCTGGTTGAAGATCGTACCCACTCCTGGCTCAGAAGAAGCTAGACAGGAGGGTGAAAATGGCACAGGCCTGCAGCCAAAGCGGAGCCCGTCTCTTGGGGGAACCATATCTACTGCTGTGTGCAAAAGTGAAAAAGGGTTGGCAATGAGTACTTCCGCTTGATTTAATTTTGAATGTGGGCCATTGGATTGTGATTATTTCAAATTTTTTTGGTTTTAGAGTTTTCAATTATAAAGCAATAAAGCTTCTTGGAGCTCCTTCAGTTTCAACTATTGGGTGGAGGCAGGAGGATAAGGAGTTCAAGGCCAGCCTTTGCTACCTAGGGAATCTGAGGCCAGCCTGGGATTTTTATTTAAAAATAAACAAACAAATAATGTTATTAAAATGGATGATGGGTCATGAAATTCATATACTATTCCCCACTATCATCAAGGTAGTATTACTTGTATTCTTGGGACTAATTATCCTGGGAAGTACAGTGGCTTCTATTGAGGAGGGGCTTGGCAGCAATCAAAGCTCCTGAGTTCAGAACAGAAAGAAGTCACTGCGCTTGTACCTTCTTGTGGTTTCTGCAGCGAAGCCAGCAGCAGGGCTACAGCCTCTGGGAGAGTCAGTAGTTGAAGATTTGGGTTTCGTCTTTCTGGAGAAACAGAAGTGTACACAGTGTTGATATTCATATAAACAAAGCAGCATTTAAACATCCGTGTCAACTAACCTTTGTAAGTAAATTAGCAGTCACATATTTTCGTCAACTAGACATTCGTGTAAATGAATCTTACTCTGCTCTGTGTGACTAGAAAGGCCTCTGTGAAACCCACTCTTGATCCGAGAGCTGAGGGCACTGCATACTGATTTTTAGAAATGAATTAAACATTTGAATTGCATTTTATTTAGAGCATTCCTCTCTCTCTTTACTTGTGTGTATGTGTGTGCATGGGCGTGCTGGCGCGTGCCCACACACGTGGAGGTCAGAAGTCTGCTCTGGGGAGTCTCCTCTCTCCTTGCACATGTGGGTTGGAGGGACTGGATTTAGGTAGTTAGGCTTGGTGGTGGGTGCCTTCACCTGAAGATCAATCTCATTGGCCTCACGGTGATCTTCAGAAGTTGAGACTTCTCTTGGAAATGACTGGATTGCTTTTGCTGTGTTTCCGTTTGGGGATGGGAGAGGAATGTACGCCTCACGCTAGGGAGTGTGTCAGAAAAGGAAGATGGACTGGGGCAGCCTCTGCAGCTTTCCCTCCTCCAGGCTTTGAACAGTTGTCTGGCCAAGAGATTCCACTGGAGCCTGACTTTCCTGCTTTCCAGCTACTGAATCTACATTCTGGGGCCACACACAAGGTAGTTAGCTGACTGAAGATACTTCTGCTAGATATTCAGAGCTATTGCAAATTCCTTAAGTTCCATGTTTAGTTAGTATGGTTCTTCACTCCACTCTACCTCAAATTTAGGTCGCCAGATGACACAGTCCCAACTCAACGCAGACATGGAGTTTAGTCATGGAAGTAACAGAAAGAGAAGAAACATATTTCACCCTACCAAATTAGATGGATCACACTGCAAAACTTGAGGAACAGAAACGGTTGCTTGTGAGCATCTGCTAGGGGTATGCTCAGCAGTGTTGAAGATTTCTCAAATGCTAGCTTTTAGCGTTTGCATACAAAATTTTACCTAGATCAATTTTCTTCTTATTAAACTGCAATGACATGGAGTTCATCAAGGAAAAAGGTCCTTGTCCCCTCTTTCTTTCTCCCTCCCTCCCTCCCTCCCCCCCTCTCTCTTCCCCCACTCCCTTTCCTCCTCTCTTTCTCCCCAATCAGAATTTTATGCATCATTTCCATGCTCTCTCTCTGCCTCCAACTCTTCCTATGCCCCTTTTCAAATTCATAACTTTTTCTTTATGCTGACCATTGGGGATTGAATAGCTTAACCCGGAGCTTGTCCCTGGAGAAAACTGATCTTTTTAATGACCCTTGCTTTTCGTGTTTGTTTAAAAACCTCTTAGTAGCTGTTTTTAGTAATTTAAGAGGGAGATACATTTGAAACTTCTAAGTAATTCTTTACTAGTAATTAGTATTTAGGAGGAAAAAGAGCAAGGCTCTATCTATAAACACCCGGATGGGCTTGGCTTCTTGAGCCGGCACACTTGCGATGCGCTCTGGCTGCACTGCTGGGGCGCCAGGCTCACCCACTGCCTGCTGGGGGGGGGGGTGGAAGCAGCGCAGCGGGAGCCCCCGCCCGCAGCGCTCACCCACCTGGAGGCGGCCGGTCTGCGAGCTCCTTCCTGCGGCTCTGGTCCGAGATGAAGCGGCGGCCCTCTGCCGAGGAGACACGGGCTGAGCTCGGACCCCCAGACCCGGGCCAGGGGAGACCACAGGTTGTGGCCTGGGAGGCGACCCTGCCTCCCAGAAGAGCCCAACCGGGTTCCTGCATCCCTCTCCCTTCCCCACCCCTCCCCCGCCAATTCCTAACTTCTTTTTTCTCAAGTTCATTCGTTGCTTCTGCATCCCCAGACATCCTGCTTTCACAACAAACAAACAACAAAACCCCGAGTAGTTGTCTCATTTAACCAACGACCACCCTCCTCCTTCCTTATTTCCCGTTATCCTTTCCTTCCCCGTTCCTTCCCTCCCCCTCTTGAGCCTTTCTCCTCTTTCTACCCTCCCCTCTTCCTCCCTCTTTCCACCTTCCTTAACAGGATCTTGCTTTGATCTGGAACTTACTGTGGAGCTCAAGCTAACCTCGCACTCGCAGGGATTCTCCTGCCTCAGCTTCGAGAGTGTTGGGGATAGGGCTGTGTTCCCCGACAGCGGGTTCCTCTCTGGTGGAGGGTTTCTGGCCATCAGGGCGTCTTCCTGTATCTCGCCTAACCTGGCTTGCCTGAGACCCCAACTGTTTACTCTCTCCCCAGGCTCCAGCTCTGTGGTGTCTCCCATCACCTCCAGGATGAGAATAAAGAGTTTGGGACTCACGTGCTCCTTTCAGGTAGAGCATAGCCTGGGGAGTCCAGTTCCTCCTCTCAAAGAGTCTCTGCAGCCAAGAGAGGAGCAGTTAAAGCAGAGCAGGAAGAAAAAGCCAAGAGGTCTCAGCTCCCACCAGGGCCATGTTGTCTGCCTGTGATTACCTGTGGAGCTCCGCAGGAGTTTCCCAGGACAGACAGCACCAGGAGGAGGGCCAAGGCTGTCACCGCCAGGCTGCTGGAGCCCTACAAGAAACAAAAATCAAACAGGGCCAGGATTTTCTGCCTTCTCCTCAGTCCAGACAACAAGCTCTTGATTTCCATATATGATCTTACCTTCTAGATAATCCACACAGTAATTTTAAAAACTAGAAACAGGATTTTTTTAACTTCACCCAAATAAAGAGTTGGGGAATAAGTTATTTTACTCAGCAAAGACAAAGAACGTCACTATTTGGATGCATAGTCTTCCAATGCCCTGTCACTAAAATTAGGTCATTAAATATAACCTAGGCAGAGAGGCAAATGATTCGCAGAACAGGTGTTGGATGCACTCTGCTGCTGCGGCTTACCTTCATGTTCTGGTCCTTTGCAGAGCCGACAGGTGCTGCCACTCTACCTGCAAGTCTGCTAATCCTGTTGCAACGTGGGGCTTTAAAAACTCTTAGTGTGAGCCTGCACAGAGGAGAGGAGACCACAGGGGCAGCTTGTCAGTCTTCAGAACTGAGCTGATCTGATGACTCCTCTGGGGAGATCTAGTTGGCAGAAATAGGACAATGATTGATGAGCGGATATCATTTGTTTAGGAACTGACCACACCAGCCAGGAGACCTTCTGACTGTACCAGCATCATCACCGTTGTTTTTCCTGTTAGCCGCCCCGTGTATTCTATCGCCATCATTATTAATGAAAACAAACGGATAACATAAGGAACTGTGACTGAAGATGAATCACCCCGGTGAACATGAAAAGGTTAGAGAACCTCAGAGGAACTTGACACCAGCCATTCACCCAAGTATCCGTCTAGTCAATGATTTAACAAATATGTGTTGAATGTCCACCTCCTACCAGACAAATTCTTCTTTAACTCAAGCATTCCCCCTTGGACCAAGGCACTCTTCTAGTTAGAGGGGCTGCCTCTAAGCTATTGGCACAATGTGCTGAGGTTAGTAAGTAAAGGTGGGCAAGATGACATTACAGGGGGAGAGCTGGGCTACTTTACAGAGAGTGAAAGTCAAAGGGGATTGGAAAGATAAGATTCCAGGGGTTTTGGAATTGGTATTCCAGTTACTCACTGCAGTCGAACGAGGAGGAAAACAGAGAGACAGCAAACAGCTTGGTTTATTTGAGGCAGAGAAGGCAGTAACACTGTGGGAGTCCAGGGAAGGGTGCTTGACACTGGCTAGTACATTCAAAAATGTGGCCACAAGCAAAGGTCTGTCTGTGATGGCGGCTAAAGTGGCAAAGAACGGAAAGCTAGAAATAATTTTGGAGGTGGAAAACACAGGATTTGTGGGTAAATCAGACATGAGAGTATGAGAAAATCAGTCAAGCAAGGATGCTGCTTAGATTTTTGGCTCAAGCATAGATCAATGAAACAGTTTACAGGAGCAACAAAGACTTCCTAAGGAAACAAATCATGAACACACGGAAATAAAAATGTGTGTTGGGGGCTAGAGTGATGGCTCAGAGGTTAAGAGCACTGGCTGCTCTTCGAGAGGTTATGAGTTTGCTTCCCAGCAACCACATGGTGGCTCACAACCATCTATAGTGAGATCTGGTGCCCTCTTCTGGTGTGATACAAAAATGTATCAAATAAATAAACTCTTAAAATAAAAAAAAAAAATGTGTGTGTGCTGGGCGTTGGTGGTGCATGCCTTTAATCCCAGCACCCAGGAGGCAGAGACAGAGGCAGGCAGATCTCTGTGAATTTGAGGCCATCCTGGTCTCCAGAGTGAGTGCTAGGATACACAGAGAAATGCTGTCTCGAAAAAAAAAAAAAAAAGTGTGTTTGTCATGCAAGTAGGAATGCAAAATAGGTGATGGAAACGCCAGTTAGGAGCCCAGCAAAGAGGCCAATAACTTTGTGTTTCCCTTTTTGAACAAAGGAGTGACCCACTATAGGAACTATAAGAATTCTAAGCATTTAAAAGTGGGGGAAAGACTGGCATGAATGAAGCTATCAACAAGAAGAAATGACAGAGCTATGAAACAAGCGTACAGAAAGTGAACAGGTAAAGATCCAGGAAAAGAGATGAAGGAGAGTGATCAGAAAAAAGGGGCCCTTCGGGGAGACTGATGTCAAGAGGGTCAGAGAGTCTGCAGTGATCGTGAGAGCCCGAGTGGCTGGTGACATGCATGGCTCAGCAGCTAAAGACACCTGCTACCAAGACTGACTAATAATTTCAGTTTTATCCCTAGGACTCACATGGTGGAAGGAGAGAACTGACTCCTGTAAAATTTCCTCTGGCTGAACACATAGTGTTGTACACACACACACACACACACACACACACACACACACACACACACACACACCGTAGTTTAAAATTTCCGAGCTCAAGCAAGAGGAGACAATAGACAATGAATTTGGAAATACAATGCTGTTTGAGAGCACAGGCAAAATTGGAGTGGATTAAACATTAAATAAATTACAACAAAATCAAAATAATTGTTGACAACCTGCCCAGAATTCACATTTTGGGGAGGAGAAATGATGAATTGGAGTGTTCTAAGCTGTGGGTTGTGGAATTATGTTGTTGGGTGGTAGAGTTTTTCTTCTGTGCAGATTACAAATGCCTCTCTACCTTTGTAGATTTCTGCACCCCCAAGCTTCTCTAGGACACCTATGTGCTTGATGGGGCCTTCGGCTGGGTTGGAAGGAGCCCCTGGAACAGTGGAGACAGATCTAGTTTCTAGAGCAATTCTGACAGTGTTAGCGGTGGATTCCAGAACTCGGTGCTGGGGTGTGATGACCTTCCCTTTGTATCTTTTGTTTAAACCAGTTAGGTTTGTCATTGTCTGTTGATAACAATCATCTGTAGGAAGTGTGGCATTGAAGATAGCTATCGATAATGGAGAGTAAAGATAAACAACTAAGGGAACGTGTTGCAGAACATTTGTTTTCAATATGTGAAGATGTGTCACTGTGATTGGTTTAGTAAAGAGCTGAATGGCCAATAGCTAGGCAGGAGATAGGCGGGCTTTCTGGGGAGAGAGAGGAAGAGGAGGAGGAATCTAGGCACGGATTACACTAGAAAGACTGAAAATATCAGACTTATGGTACAGAGCAGAGGTAATAGAGCTACATGGCAGAACGTAGATTACCGGAAACAGATTAATTGAGTTATAAGACCTAGTTGGGGACAAGTCGAAGCTAAAGGCCAAACTTTGATAATTAATAGTAAGTCTCCATGTCATTATTTGGGAGGTGGAGATACAATGATAGTTCTATAAGAAAGCTTGCTGCAAATGGCTGGAGAGATGGCTCAGCGATTTAGAGCTCATACTCTTCTTGCAGAGGACACAGATTTGGTTTCTATCACCAACACTGGGCAGTGCAAAACTACTGTAACTCCACTTCCGGGGGATTCAATGCCCTCTTGTGGCCTCCCTGGACACCTTCACAGATGTGTTGCATATACAGACATACAGGCTCACACACACACACACACACACACACACACACACACACACAAATAAAAATAAGTATAAATCTTTAAAAACATGTTACAAAGAAAAGAGAGTGCAACAAGAGGGACATGGTGTCAACTATGCTAGCATTCAGTTGAAACAGCTTGGCATACAGACAGATATTGGATGAAGACTTGAGCTCCACTCCACACACTATTACACACATGAAAGGTGAGTGTGTGAGATGGCTTCTGTCAGTCCATGTAGGCTGCATAACAATACAGTGAACTGATGTCCTGGTTTGGGTCTCAAATGTTCCCCAAAGACCTTTGAGTTGAAAGTTTGTTCTACAGGGCGGGACTTTCAGAGGGCTTGGGGTGGGGTGGGGTTGGGGATGGGGTGGAGCCTTCGGGTCTTTCCAGTGCACTCCTGACATGGATAGTCAGAACCCCTCTTCCTCTTCTTTTTCTTCTCTGCCTTTTAATGAACAATTATGCTTTACTATCATGGGCTGAGAGAGGCCCAAGGCTCTGTGTCAATCTAAGTTAGGGTTTCTACTCCTGTGAAGAGACACCATGACCACAGCAACTCTTATAAAGGAAACATTTATTTGAGGTTGTAGCCTACAGTTTCAGAGGTTTAATTCATTATCATCGTGGCAGGGAGCAATATGGCCCGGAGTATGGCAGTGTGCAGGCTAAGAGCTGAGGATTCTACCTCTTGATCCAAAGGCAACAGGAAGTGGTCTGAGATACTGGGTGGTGATTGAGCATATGAGACCTCAATGCCCACCTACCCAGTGACACACTTCCTCCAAGAAGACCATACCTCCTCCAACAAGACTACACCTAATAGTGTGACTCTTTTGGGGGGGGGCAATTTTCTTTCAAAGCACAACAGTGTCTGCTACATTGTGGAGTGGGGTCTTCAAAATGTGGGCCCCAAATAAACCTTTTCACTCCATAAGCTGTATCATCTTCATCATCCATTACAGTGACAGAGAGCTCACTACCATAAATAGGTATCCCGTAGGTGACAGAAATTCATTACTCAGCTCGACAGGGTCAAAGGTCAGCTTGGTTGGGTTCTGGTAAGGGCCTTCTCTTCTGTGTCCTCATGTGCTGGAAGAGGAAAACAAATTCCTGTGATCTCTGTTATAAGGACATGTGTCCCATTATGAATGTATGTGTGTGTATGTGCGTATATATGTATGTGTGCATGTATGTATGTGTGTATGTATGTATGTGTGTGTGTATATGTATGTATGTGTCTATATGTGTGTGTGTGTATGTATGTATGTGTGTGTGTGTGTGTGTGTGT